TAGAGTGTTGTCGTTTCAATTATCTGCAGAAGTCGCAGTGGGGCAAATTTATTCAGTCATCGAAGCACTAATAATGTTTTGATATAAAATTAGGATCTGGGCAAATTTCACTCAAAACTCTTTGCAGTATGTTACTGATAAAAAGAAAAAAAAAGTATTTGCGGAACTTCAAATAGATATTTATATACCTTCATTTTTTTTGTGTACCTGTTTTTAATGAGACCCCAATCATAATGGTCTCTTTGAAAGTTTGATTTTTTTTAAAAGGAAAAATTAAACATGACATGTATTCATTGCAGCTAAGGTAGTACTTTAAATTTAGGCATGTTGTTTCTCAATGTTTTGTGTTTCACTTCTTATTCTCCCACTTGAAAAAAAAGAAAAATCTTACAGGAATCATGCAAGAATTAGGTACTTATACCATGCTAGTGTCAGATAACGCATGTGTTTTATATATGGTATTCTTTAAAATAATTATATAATTGCAACAGTTTTAACACAGAACAAATAGCGAAGGTTAAATAGAAGAAACGCTCATACATATTTTAAATATTTTCTTTGCTATTGAAAACAACCTGGAAACATCTAAATGCATTTTGAGATTAGATCATATTAAAGTTTGACTAATGAATGTACACACTCTGCAATAGGTCTACCTCATTTGATTTCTATGAATGGTCTTCGATGAAGTTTAGAAATTTATAACCGATTCTTGCTTCTGTAGCATATGTGAGAATAAATGAGCATTTAATAATATTACCATTTGGCGAGTCACAGATGGAAAGCAATTTTGTTGCCATAGTCTCGGAGAATTCAGACAATAGAAGGCGGGTTGTCTCAATAATTATTTACAAACTAATGCCGTCAGCGCTGACACAGTCAGGCGTCGCTTGAACACATCCTTGAACAGCTTCATGAGTCGTGATTAAGATCTAGGCATGTCTTAGAAAATCTGTGGAATTCTGCTGAATTGTTAGTTACAGCTTTGGTTTGTAAAGAATATACAAGTATTCAATTAATTTAAACAATAAATGATCTATTTTTTATATGGGAATTAACGGTAGCTAATTTAATTAGACCGAAATTACAGAAAACAAAAACTTAACCCGCGTAAAAGACATACCAAGCAATTAGCATCGATTTTGAAAGAGGGGAGGAACCAGAAAAATAATTTACAACTTACATAAACATTTTTTGACAATTGAAAAAAAATAATATAAAGAAAAATTATCTACTTTAAAATTCTGCGCGGGAGATACTTTTTCGACAAGAAACATTTTGAATATATTAAGGATATGACTATTCTGCAAGGGGGTGGGGTGGGGTGGGACAACGGGCCTCTCAATATATTGAACAGTAAAAGATTATGATCGGAAAAGGGGGCAGCCCCCTCATCTCTCTCTCCCCCCCCCCCGATACTACGCGCCTGCATTCTTATCAAATTCCATTACTGTAGTAAATATTGTATCATTAATGGCTAACACATTGTATTATATTCTCCAAAGTCACACACAACTGCCATCATTAGAGAGGTTAAGGTCACATGAGTTACTGATCAGTTGACATTTTACTATCTATTTTTGTCCGTCGTCGAGCGTAGTCCGTCTTCCATCGTCCATTGGTTTTAAACTTTAAGCATTTTCAGCTTAATCAACGCCGCATTTTTGGGTCTTTTTGAGAGGCCTCTACCAAGCTTAATATGAAGTGAATTCAAGGTATAGTACAATGAAATATGGAGATTACGAACAGTAATCAAGCTCAAAAATCCATTGAAACAATACAGATCGGGAGCAGAGCAAACACGGAAAGTGGGATCAGGTGCCATAGAGGAGTAAGTATCCCCTGTCGACCGATCACACCCGCCATGTGCTCATTGTCATGATCGGGAAAACGGAAAAATCTGTAGACAATTTAGTGTTTAATTAATGGCCTAACAATTAGTATGAAAAAAGTCAGTCAGCATTCGACTTAATGATAGATTGTATTTGCTGACAAGGTCATTGTATCGACTAAAGAACTTGAGAAATGATGACTTTAAACAAGACTGTTGATATCCTTGTTTCATCAACTTGTTTGTCAATAGCTTGCCTCGTTTAAAATTGTGGGTACGTAGAGCATGCTCTTGCGTATCGGATATAAAGCCCATGTATGCAGGTGATAAGGGTATATTGCTACATAAGTAAGGAAAATTGACGATAGAAACGTTGAAGCTATCACATTTATCATGAAGTTTTGTTGTAAGGTTACCATTAATGTCTTTTTCTAGTAAAATATCCTAATATGAAACAGATGTGTCAGACTCTGTCGTATCTTTTATTTAACTATTATTAATTGACAGTACGTCATCGATATGTTGAAAACCACAGCAAGTGTCTTCTCATGTATAATTTTTGAAAAAAATCTGCTTCGTATGAATACAAAAATAGGTCTGCTAATAACGAGGCGCAATTGGTGCCCATGGGAATTTCGAAAGATTGTTGGAAGACCTGATCTCCAAAAACTACGTAGATATTGTCAATCAGAAACTCAAGCATCTTTTTAATATCTACACCAGAGTTCAAGCATCAGCAAGATCGATATATGAATTATTATATTAGGAAGATAATCTTTTACAAAACAAGGCCTTGCTGATACAAGTCATTATAGAAGTAACCATATATAAGTGCCGCTGTCCGGATCTGACATCTCTCATGGGTTAGATCCAAGGGTGGACTAAGTTGGTAATATACTGAAAATACGCTATGCATTTGAAAATCTAATTTACTTATGGACAATTAGATGGCAAATTGTTTTAACGATTACAGATAGAACTTAAGCCTCTACCAAAATTTTAAAATGATGTCCTAAGGCGAAGGGTGGAGTTAATCTTGTCATGAAATGAAAATAAATTACTGTACAACTTTGTAAATCTTCATTCTTTCTTAAGGACAAATAGTGGAACTGACTAATTATTTGATTAGAATACACGTACCTTGTAAAAATGTGTGAAATTCTTTCAAATCTCTTTTTATCGGGTCCCTTGTTTTGTGATAATCTATGTGTTAATTATAAGATAACGTTGATTAAATGATTTGTTATCATGGTTTCTAAAAACAATAATTTCTGAAATTCTTTGAAATAGTACTCTTCCCATGGTTTTTATTTGAATTTAGTAAAAGCTACTCAAGTAGATCATACAACTCTGTCAGATTAAGATGCTGATGAATGATGTTGTCATGGTTACTAACAAGAATAATTTGTGAAATTCTTCAAAGACATTCTTTTTAGTTTTGATAAAACTGGATGTTTGAAAAGACCAGAATAATAATATTTAAATAAAATGTTTCAAGTCCGGATGCCAGTTTTCTTTTCCTTTATTATATGAAGAACAAACCAGACTGACTGAAACTACAATATCGTTAGATTTTTTTTGTTTCTGTTTTGTTTCTTTTGTTTTGAAAACTGATCATGCCTTGATTTATTCCTATGTAAAAATCTTTAAACTTTTCATTGTATTAAAAATAATTTGATTTCAATTGATTCCGTTCTCCTTCAGCAATAGCTGACAGAACTTGATGATTATGAATTACATTAATTAGCCATTATATGGATATTATTTGTCCTTTTACCTATTTCAGGCTATCAGGGTACACTCCTTTAACTATTCTAGGAAAAAAAAAACACCTAGTGCGTTATATTAAAAGTGTCAACTAGGTTATCTATTGATAACACACTATTCTATGAACCCCGCAAAGAAAGTCAGGAGAAAATAAATTTAAAAAAAAAAAAACAGGCTGCATATATTTTTAATCAAATAATCCACCCGTACTAGTTTATAGTATAGAACGATAATTATAAAATAATAAGCCAAGTACATTTATGCTTCAACGAATGACAGCACCCAATTGTTAATGCAAATTAATTGTGCAGTAATATGTTATTGTAATATTCAGACCAATCTCATTCCCCCCGACGCCGATGGAATTTCCCTTTTCAACGCACTTGAACGGAGTTTTTTGGACAAGGGTCTCTTGTTCTCGTGTGCTTTCTATCAAAACAATCTGTCTCATTTTTTCCTAATGACCCAACAGTCGTCAATGCTGATACTCATGTATAAGACTATAATAAGATATGATTAGTGTAAGTAAATAATACTAAACTATGGTGCAAATCAGTACCCAATATGATATTTTGATTCTGTGATTGGTTGGTTGTTACTTTGTTGTTTAACGTTTTATTTGAGAATTTTTCAATCATTTAGAGGCGTCACCATATACTGGTAAAGGGCTTCAAATTTAGATCTGTAGTCGGCACTCAGCGCCATTGACATGCGAGGGTTCTTTATCGTGCAAACGCATACCGTTACACAGGACCTCCGTTTTTCAGGTCTCATCCGAAAGATCCGTGATTTTCACTTCAAATGCCGGGGAAGGAACTACTTAACGTCTTAGGTTTGAGGCGGCGAGGCGAACGAGAATCGGAACCGGGCCTCCCGATCACGAAGTGAACGCCCAACCATGGCCTACCGTGACCGGTGTTTATTATGTGAAGATATCCGATGGGTGTATGTACATTGTGGAACATCTCACATATAAAGACACAGAATTGCCCTTGACTATGAAATAAAATTATTTCCCTACTGCACAATAACAGATATTTTATTCTTTGTCGGATTTTTGTCAGGTGAAATCCAAATGTTTATAACTGTATCATGTACATAACGTAGACCTAATCAAAGAAAAAAGTGAAGGAAACGAACAATGATTGATCTCAAAAATATCTACAAACATTACAAGACTGTAAACAAGGCATCAACGATGGCCTCTCTTTAATAGTGAGACAAAGGTCAAATATGTCCTTTCTCAATAACATTGGTACAGAGATGCAGGGAGTCATGCACAAAAGGGCAACTTTGTTGCAAGCTTAAGGAAATGACAATACAAGTCCGATAATAATTAATAAAGCTCGTCAAATGCTTTTAATTCTGCCTGCATTGACAATGTTTATTGATTTGTGTGTGTTGATATATAAATGGGAAATAAAGTTTTCAATTTTTTATTAAAATAAATCGTTTAAATGAATCATTGGCTATAAAAATGTACAAAATTCAATGGCAACTAAGCATACGGTTTTGTTACAGCTACTTTACCCTTTTAATACAGTTTAACTATCCTTACACACTAGTGACCATTTCACACTTCTCAGCTAAACTAAACATGTCTTTCTTTGTCTCTTGAACTTTGGACTTGACCACTTGTTTCGGGCTTCCAGTTTTCTTGTTCAGAGGTTCCGTGTCCGAATATTCCTGGAACATCGTAGAATGGATATATAAATGGATTTTAATACTGAACATAAATTTTTCACATAACATTCATTAAAATATCATACAGAAATATGATTATGTAAGCAACGAATAGCTTTCATGACTTAATTTCTGTGCACTAAATCGACAGGAACTGAGAAAAAATCTCAAAGGTACACTCTATAATAAATGTTCGGTATATGACCAACTAAGCCCTACCATAGATCGAGGGGAATTAAAAATCCAGTAGAGGGTACATAAGGCTTATTGCATGTATTATAACCATGAAAACAGTTTGCCTGCTAGATCGCAATTAAACAGCAGCATATGCATGTTTTTTTTTTTTTTTTTTTTTTTATAGAATGTGTACAACTAATCCACTTTCCCAATCTTTAAATCAAAAATATCTTCAACAGCTTTGTCTTTGATTAGTTTATGGCAAATATTAAAAGACAGATAACTCTTATACTACCTTTTCCTCCTCTTGATTGAACAAAGATTCCATAGACTGATCGCGGTCGGGATCGTACACAATCAAGGTTTTCCTAGTTTTTCTTGCCTTTAATACAGCCTGTATCTGTGTAATAATAAAATAAACATATTTATAATTTGGTTATTAATTTTATAAAAGTAGATCTCACAATAGTTTACCCCTTTACAATTAAATCATACCGAATAAATGTTTATTCGAATAAATATTATTCGATTAAATGATGGACAAAAATGTAAAACCCACTAAATTCTATGGCAGTATATATGCTGCTGTGTTACGCCTACGCAAGAATAAAGATTGTTATCAATGTTAAATACTATTTCAAATGGAGAATTCTTCACTAAATCTTGTGAGGTGTGAGAACTGTTTTATATACTGATTAAGTAAACGTAAGAAAAAATAAGAATGAGCTGGATTACTTACTTCCTCATGTAGAAAGACAAAAAACACTAGAACAAAAGCACCCTGAAAAGGAAACAGTAATACACGAGTTATTAACGATAAAGTAACTCATCTGAGGTGTAGAATTCTATGCGAAAGGAATGTGCATTATGAAAATTTGTTTGTACCGCATGTGTCTTCTCATCAAAAATGGCATGAAAATTTGGCACTTTGTTTACATTTTTTTAAAATTGAATTCTAAAAGATATGTAATCTTATTTTCTCCGATTTTCATTCCAAACGTTTGTCACATAAAAGTAACATCAGAACTGAACTGTTTGCATTTGATCATTGACACACAAAATATCTTTCAAAAATACCTATACACAATTTTCCAGAGAATGAATTAACAAAACATAGTCATACAAATAAGTAGAATATGCATTTAATATTCTTATCTGCTTCCTTTAATACATTGTATTTTTGCTGAAAATAAGTGTGAAAAATGTGGAGTTTTAAAATTGTGAATGGGAAAGAAGAAACTGTTATCGATAGAGAGTAATCCTATATTATATAATTATAATGTAATTTTTAAGGATGCCACTTTTATACTCTTGACAATAATTTATATTGAGGTATCGGACTATCCTAGTGCTGAACTTGTTAACAATCATGTATGAACAAGAAATCATTCAAGTATTTCACTATGAACTAAATCGTTGTTTTGTTTTATACTTTATAACCTCCATTAAATGATTTAGTCATTATATATAACAATTCTACGAGTCTCTTACAGTTATACATTTAGAGTTACATATGAGGATAACGAACATTAATCATGCTCAATAATCCAATTAAAGAATACAGTTTGTAAGCAGAGCAAAACATGGACCTCCGAAAACAGAGGTGGGATCAAGTGCCATGAGGGATTGATCATCCCATGACGACCGGTCACACCCGCCGCGTACCCCTCATCATGATCGAGTAAATGGAATAAATCCGTAAACAATTCAGTGTGAAAATCATGGCCTAACAATTTGTTTACGAGAAGTCAGTCAACAATCTACATGTGTACCGATAGATTACACAGATAGCAGATGTTCATTATGGTAATTGTTGTCAGCAAACAAAAAGCCAAAATAAGAGGCATTGTGAACGAAAGGGTTACAAAAGGGTATTAGGAAAAAATAGGTTTGTGAATTTGCTGTTTCTATATCCTGAACAACTTTAAATATTCACATCAATAAAAACACAATTTTAACAACTAGCTATTTGCTTAATAACAAAATGAATGCATTTTACCATAGCGGCAATAAGTATATGAAGAGGACATTGTTATGTTTGTTTTATTTTAATGTACAAATAATACATTTGCTCTCATACTTGTAATATATTCATCATGGCATAGAGGTACTTGATGACGGAATCATGCATTCTCAGCGACAGGAAGGCAAACGCCCAGGACACTGTGACCAAAATTATCTGAATCCATAAGCCACGCATCTGTATCCTTTTAAAAAAAATGGAGAAAATCGCCTATGAGACGAGAAAAAATTGGTCGACCGAACATCGGCTTAAATGTGCTAAGGCATATGTCTTAATACATCAAGACCCTAGATTGAAAGATTGTAAAATTTAACCCCATTTAACCCCTAGTTTTCCTGTAAAATCAAGATGTGTTTGTGAAACACTGATGCCCCCGAGTGGCAGCTTATGGCAAAGGTTAAAGTTTCTCAAATGCAAATCAAACTCCACGTCAAGAGATCAAAAATGTTGGTACCCAAAGAAAGGTCTTGTCTCGAGGAATATACCTGTTAAATTTGAAAGCCCTAGCTCCAACTGTTCAAAAATTAAAGGTTAAAGTTTTTTAAAAGTAAGTAAAACGTCAAGGTCAAGGTCAAATGGGCTCCAGGGAAGGTCTTGTCACAAGTGATACACATATTCGTGAAATGTGAAAGCCCTAGAATCAAACGTTCACATGTTATGGTCAAGGTTAAAGTTTTTTAAAAGTAGGTCAAACTTAAAGTTCAAGGTCAAAAGGTCAAAGTTGTTGGTAGCCAAAAGAAGGTCAGTTACAAGGAATAGACCTGTGAAGTATGAAAGCCCTAGCACTAACTGTTAAAAAGATGTAGCCAAAGTTAAAATTTTCAAAAGTAGGTCAAACTCCAAGGTCAAGGGTCAAAAAAGTTGTTGGTATCTAAAGGAAGGTTCGTCAGAAGGAATACACATGTGAAGTTTGAAAGCCCAAGCACCAACTGTTCAAAAGTTATGGCCAAGGTTAAAGTCTCATAAAATTTTGCAAAGTGGGTCAAACTCCAAGGTCAAAAAGTCAAATATGATGGTACCCAAAGAAAGATCTTGTCACAAGGAATTCACATGTGAAATTTGAAAGTCATAGCTCCAACCAATCAAAAGTTATGGGCAAGGTTAAAGTTTTTGCGAACAAACAAACAGACGGACGAATAGGGCAAAATCTGTTTACCCTCGAATGTTCGATACGGGGGCATAAAAAGCAAAGCTTAATGTTCTGGTTAATGTAGGCTTTTTTGTCAAAACTTTTTAATTCAATTTGACTTTGATAGTCAAACTAATGAGTAATGATGGTCTTATGATGATACAGCCATATGTTAAATACAGGTAGCTAGCTACATGGATGGCCCAATCGTGAGTGAATACGAAAAGGAATGAGAAAAAATTGAAAAAGAAACATCACTTGCAGTAGAAATAAACAAATTAACACATTAAAATGTACAGTGTAATTACTTTTGAAAAGGGTCGCCCGCGTGGCGCAGTGGTTAAGAGCTTCAGTTTATTCTAGAGTCTTGAGTAAGGTGTTAATCCTTACGTCGCGGGTTCGAATCCCACTGTGGGACGTGGAGACCGGTCCTTCGGATGAGACCGTATAAACCAAGGTCCCATGTCGCAGTAGGTGGTGGCACGAAAAAGATCCCTCACTGCTCAATGGCCCTATTTTGTTTGTTTGTGTATTGTTTAACGCTCCTCTCGAGAATTTTTCACTCATATGGAGACGCCACCACTTGCCTGTGGAGAGCTGCAAATTTTGACCTATATTCGGCACTCAGGACCGGTCTCAACGTTCCACAGTGGGATTCGAACCCGCGACGTAAGGATCAACTCCTTACTCCACGACTCTAGAGCGGATGCTCTACCACTGTGCCAAGCGGGCGACCTCAATGGCCCTTAGTGCCATGTATAAGTCTAAATTTGCAGGTCTCCATCGGCAAGTGATGGCGTCTCCATATGAGTGAAAATACTCTCGAGAGACGTTAAACAACAAACAAACAAACATTTGAAAAGGGACAATATGATGTATTAATTAATGATCGGAAAAATACATTTCAATACTTTTTTTGTCAAACAAAAGTTAATTAGCGACTTTCACAAGATTAATGTCGAGTCAATTTAAGCTGTTCATAGATTTTTCGATAAACAATATAATAGTAAATTTACAAATAAATAATATGTGCAATAAATTAAATTGTGGAATGTAAGTTTATTGTTACAAAGTTTATTTTTTTCAAAAATTAAAAAATACAATGTTTTACTTTTAAAGTAAAAAATTCATATATTAAGTAAAATAATTATATATTATGCGTATTCTTACATAGTGTGTTTTCTTCATTCTAGAGACATTCCTTGTATTGAGTGCACTTAAAATCATTAATATTTCTTGAATTCAAATTCGAGTAAATTTGGACCCTGGTTGTTTGTTGGTTTACTTCACTTCTCTTCTTAAGATACACACCCCATAATGGGACCAATTGCAGACGAAAGACTGCAAATTTAAACCTGTTCTCGGCTTATAGCCATTGAGCAGTGAGAGGTCATTTTTGTGCCTGCACCTACTGCGACACAGGATTTTGGTTTTATACGGTCTCACCTATAGGGCCGGGTCTCCACGTCCTGCAGTGGGAATCCAACCCGCCACGTAAGAATTATCGCCTTACTTTGCAAATTTTAAATGATGCAACTTCTGCTCATCCATTGCGCCATAGCTGCTGTAATACCTATTTATACTTACAGAATTATTCTGTTTGTCTTTTCACTGTTTGTATAAGAGTTTTCGTTGTGCTCTTTGGTTGCAAAAATCATCACCATAACAGAAACCTGTAAGGAGAGTGTCTCTAAAATGTACTGACTTGTAAAACTGTCTTTATAAATGGTGTAATCATTTGAAAGGATTCAGATTCGATACATACTGCTTGTAGTCCCAATGCTGGAGCGACAAACAACCAAATGTTATCCCAGGAAATCCAGCACCTGACAACAACATATTCTGGTAGTTATCATCTTACTGAGACTGTAAAACACTTTTGATAAATTGCAATAAATAAGAATAATACAGTATCTTAACGTACATGTCTTTAGCATAATAAGATTCTCCTTGGGATCCAACAAAGGCGCCCACCAAAACACCGGGAAAAACTGATAAGCAAATATTCTGTGATTCAATTCAGTTTTCATTTTCAATCAGGTTAATGACCAGTTCTTTGATAAGAAAACTCACTAGGACATTGTTATGCAAATATTAAAATTATATATTCATACATAAATTACTTAACATACAAATTAAAACTTGAGACAAGCCTTTAGTGATGTTACATTTATGTAATTTTACCGAAAATTACTCTTTTGTAAGCGTAAACCACAATGCTTTTAAAAGCAATCAATGTAAGTTTTCGTGAGCTCGTAACAGTCAAATTTAAAGTGTTTAAAACCATTCAAAAAGAAGGAAAATCAGAGCACGTAATTTTTAATCTTACATATACCATACTAAGACTTTCACATTTCAAAAATTCAACTATTTTAAGCATTTAAAATTGAATACATTAATAGGATATAAGTAGCAAATTCTATTTGGTATGATTTGATATATAACATATATATATATACATGATGATGTATAATGAAAGTCTTGTTATTGCAAGAAAAACGATAACAAGCAAGACTCTTTTTCATTTAGCAATTAAAAAAAAATATTCATTTGAGGACTTACGCCAGCCGAGGACGTAATAACGAATCATTGATCCGTTATCCGTGAGCTGATCAGAGTGTGAATGCGCAGCATACGTTATGACGATATACTGATTGAAAACTTCGTTCATCAACCAGGAGAAATTGGACAGGAATGCATAATGTAATAAAATCGCAAAAATGTGACATATCACCTGGAATGCAAAAAACAAATGGGATCTTAGAGCAATATCTTCCTTAATTTGTTAATACGGGCTACATTCAATTGAGCGAAAATTATTATTAGTATACATGTATAAATGTAGTTAAACTTTCTTTTTTAGAAATATTATATACATATACTTACAGGGTTATCGTACTTGTCTATACCCGCCATGAATACCACCTGACCTATGACAATGGACGCTGCCAAATTCTTATGAAGTGACGCAGTGGTAGTGGATGATCTAGAAAAACATTCAATATAAAATGGTATTGGATCATCTAATGAGGTAATCCTCGTAAAGCTTTGATTGAAGTATGGTAACCCACCTGAATCTAACATGAATAATGATGCTGACAAGGCACATTACTGTTGTCAATGCGCACCCTGCATACGACGCAATATTCATTAAAATGGGTCTTTTAACACCTCTGTCCCACTAAATAAAAGCAAAAAATGTAAATATTTAACTATGATGAATATTATAACGTTATCGTAAGTTGGCATTAAATCGTTGTTTCAATTCACCATAAATAGGATCATTTATTAGCGTCCACTCACGTTAACATTATACATATCCGTAATGAGGGCAAAAACACCAGGCATATAGCATTCACAGTACCCCTCCCCGCCTGTATCTGACACCAGGATACACTGGTCCCTACTCCACAACCACTGACTCTGACTTTAATATGAAAATAAGTAATGGATATATGCCGAATACTGTTCTATATGTAAAATTATCAGACTGTTTGAGGCCCGTTAGGGCCGAAAACAGTCTGATAATTTTACATATAGAATTGTATGAGGCATATATCTTACTTAAAACATTGCTATTTAAATGTCCAAAAGTTACCTGGAGGAGTCCGATAATTACACAATAGGAGTTCAGGCATCAATAGTTTTCTACCTGAAACCATCTTATAAGTGGACAAAAGAAAAGAGAAAGTTTTTTTTTTCTTTAGACAGTAAAATCAGTGAGTGAACTCTTTTTTGTTTCATTCATTCAATGGCAGTCGTTTGGCTTAGCAGGAACTATGGACAGTGGTCAGGTGATGAAGGATTTTTTTTATGATTCGGTATATTTTTTCTTATTAAGTGCGTTTGACATTGATACAGATACAGTGTTGGGTGATATCTTCAAAATGCATTTAAAGTAAAAATGCGGATTTTTATCTAAAATTTTTATTGGATGATATAATGAAAATCTTGGGTTTTAAAAGTGCGGTCATTGGCGAACAAACCTCGTTAAATGAAGAGATTGGTTCTTTATCAGAAATGGATTTAAATTGGCTTATTAACATTGCTGTATCGAAAACGCTTTGCAAAAAAACGAATGGAAAGTGTTACTTTTGAGGAAGGTTAAAACTACAGTTTCTTCTTGGATTTACTATTTTTAACAACTTAATTTCCTCCCGTTCGCTTTCCCTGGATTTTTTCTCCCTAACCTTTTTTTTTTTTGGGGGGGGGGGGTTCTGGACAAATTAAGCCTTGATTTCACTCTAGTTGTTGTTTTTTAACTACTGTCCGAATTTGTTATCACTGCCGTCCGATAATATATTATTGGACTGCTAATTATTATTATCGGACGGCTACAGGTAAATTTTTAGACTGCAAGAACAAAGGCATGACGTCACAGCAATGTTTTAACTGTTTTTATTAAAAATACATGTTTTGGACATTTTCTATAGTGCAATGATCATAAAACTGTCAACTACTATTAAAACTATTTTAATCTCAACTTTTTATATTTAATCCGTTTTGAATAAAATAATTGTGTGATATGAACAAGTTACCTTGATTTGTTACGATTTGGGTGTTCAATCCTTACACACTCAGCATTTGATATATTAAATGTCTGAAAAAATATTTAAAAATTTTCAAAGTATTTCGGACTGTAATAAAATGGATATACATCGGAAGAAGAAACTTACGTCTAGATAGGCCGCATGGTATCTGATTGGTGTACTCAGGTTATAGGGAGTAAAATTATCCGTATTGTGGATATACAGAGCCAATATGGCCGTGTTTACATTATCCTCTTTGCTTTTGCTGCAAGACAAAGACATCATGATCACTGGATTTTAATATATACTGAATACTAAAATTCTTAGGTACTAAGTAAAAAAATATATATGAAAATTTACCCCACATGATTTGGTAGATATTTTGCCAGGTTTCTAAATCGGAATCCTGATAGTTTAACATAATCTGAAATAAAAACAATTTGTTTTTAATTCAAGGGGATCAACTTGCAATGTTTAATGCAAAACTTTCTTGGGAAAATGTAGGTTAAGTTTCTTACTTAAAATTAATAATAAAAATATGAATTATTGATTAACGTCCAACGTTAACGTGTAAATTTATTATTAGTATTTTTGATTATAGTAAACAAATTGCAAAAAAAAGGTTTTAGAAAATAACCGAGCATGAAAGAAGTACCGGCAGAGTAGTACATGTAATTCCTTGAAAAATACCCAGCAACGATTGAAAAGAGTTATAAGTCTACAGAAACTGAAGTAGGTTATACTTGAAACCTTCTACAGCCCAAAAAAACTTGCCAGAAGAAATGGTCATGTTGGTCAGGGAATCGCCATAAGAAGGGAAATATCGGACCTCGCCCGCTTCTCCATTCAAACCAAACAGGACACCATCAGAACTGTCTGGAAACATGAATTCTCTCATCGAATCTTTCTTCTGTATCTCTAGTTTGTATTCTGGATAGAGAATATTTATTTTGTATTCTGGATGGAGAATATTTATTTTGTATTCTGGATGGAGAATATTTATTTCTTTATATTATACTTTTTTATGTCATTTGATTTTTTTCTGAAAATTATTTGGAATACAGTCAATCGTATATACAAATAATATATAGAACAGTGTATCTGACGATTACTTGAAACATGTCAATACATGTACTGCTAACTAAAAGCGTTTGATGGAAATTTTTGCTGCATGATATTTTGTGTCTCTCTCATCGACGAAAACCTTTCAAATTATTTCTGTTTTAGAGAAAATAGTCCTACATACTAAATACGTAATTTAAGAAATAAATTGATCATACAGCTTTTAATTGATTATGTTACACTGTAAAATTGATTGCAAAACGAAAGTTAAAAACTAATTGCAGAATGACGGGTATTATAAGTAAAATGCCTACCAATGTGTTCTCTGATCTCTAATTCCGGTTTTTCTTTGTATTGTATCACACCTCTCTGTATCTGTTCTTCTAATATGTCTGCTACAACTGTTGCAAATTGCTCTATCACAACCAGAAGGTTGTCCCCTTCCACACCTGGGGGTTTGGTGTTTTTCCAGCCAGCATCGTTTTTAGATTCCAACAAATTGTTGACGATATCGATGAATTTCTGGGTGAAAATAGGATATGGTTTTGATTTAGGCTTTGGTCAATGTATGTAAGAACAACAGGAGGTATTCAGTTTTATAACTCAAAACAAAATATATATCCCAGTATTTTAGCGTATAAACATAAACAACGATCACTGACAATAACCTTAATGAGATCTTGGATGTCCTCTTGTGTCGGAGTAGCTATGTTTGCTTTCTTAAATTCTTCAAATCCTTTTTCCGACGTTTGGACATCGACAGAAATTGCTTTGGCCTGAAGATTCACTATCATTTTCAACAGATCAATGACAGTAGCGACATCTATCGGATTGGTGTAAACATTGGTGGAAGTATGGTTCAACAACACCGAGGCAAAGTCATTTATCCACAAAGCATCAACAACTGAAGAACTGGACATTCCCAAAATCTTTTATCAATAAAATAATTTAGATAAAGTTTTTACCTGTTTAGCATGAAGTCAAACTTTATCTTATTTGAGTAATTTTGAAACATTTCATCTTTCACCTTCTATGAGAAGACTAAAAAGTATTCTTTGTGAAAAATGTGATGTTTTAAGCATCTTTACCTTTAACTCTTTAACTCCCCGAGAAATGTCTTACTTTACCTCTTCATATATTTTCCCCTAAGAATTGTGTTAAGTAAACTATTTTGAAGGGGGAAATATTTAAATATTAAAATAATTTCATATCTGATCAAATAAGATATATATTAAAAGTTGATTGTAATTGTGAAACAGGGCTTTTGTTTTATGATCTATAACGTGCAATTTTGATAATTTGGATACCTGCTGCTTCATGTCAAGAAGGTCTTCAGAGATACATTGATCAATGTACGGTTTTCCCCAAATACCCTCGTTCTGAGATGTTCTGTAGCACGTTCTGGAAGCCGAATCTGAAAAATTGGGCAATGTTAAACAGGGTGAAAAAAACAAATCAGAATTTTCATTTGATTGCTTAAAAGGGAAATGCATTCAAAAGGTACTTCTGAAGTATCGCAAATTATATTTTGATTTATACGATCTACATTTAAAGCAATGGCGTACAGTGTATTTAAGCAGTTGAGATACAGGTGCATACGTTCAAATGAACTTCTGAAGTATTGCAAGAATATTCTGTTTTATACGATCTAGCTCCATTTAAAACAACAGTGACTATGTTTATTTTAGCAGTAGAGATACAGCCTTTTCTACCGTATGTTTCGTTCCTGGCTTTGTTTTCTTCTTGTCCTGGACACGGTACGGTGGCGTTTGTTATGGCAGGAGTTCGCGCCCACACCATGTTCTCCACTGTTTCCATGTTGCATTGAGCTCCTGCGAACAAATTATTGGCATTTTGCACATTTAATTTCTTTGCATGTTCATATAAATTATACATCTCATAGATGCAATAATGACATACTGATTTCAAACTTTTCTGAATATGTGTTGTTGTAGACCTACCAATAACGTCACTACAATACTTGTTACATGTGATTGCTTTTTCAAGTTTTGTATTGCATGGTTTATTCTCCTTTAAAACGACGGCTGAAAAAAGCATATAATGTATTGCAGATGAGTAAACAAATACTGTTATATATAGATTTGATATTACAGCTACATTTTATATAATTAAGCAGGTACAGGATTTAAATTATCGTTTCCAGCTTTGCTATAAAAATATTCCAAAACAGTATTAATTAATAAGTTTCAAAAGCGGGACTTACATACAATATTGGACGGCCATCTCATTTTCATTGGGCCTCGAGTACCACTTCTTAAGTCGGCCCATTGGACGGCATTTCCACAGTACATAAATATACAAGAAGTAAAAATAGACGTCATCAAGCGGGAATTCAGAACCTGGTTCCAGATGTTAAGATGAGCGATGTCACCAACAAAGGCATCATGAGTGTTGAAGAGAAACTTTTCCCTTGGGGATTGCCCGACAACAAACTCTCCGTCCCTCGGGATGGGGAACGCTAAGGAAGGATCAGATCCTTCCTCCTTCTTTGTGTTGTTGACAAAGACTTTCCACGATCCATCTGATTAATGAAAACAGATCCAAATTTTTTATGTCAACATACCTGGGCATAAGAGGTTTTACCTAAGGTTTTTATATATTCATTAGCTGAATTTATAATTTTGTAGTTTAGAATTCGCAGACTTGATAAACCCATAGCAATAATGCCTTAATCCCTAAGAGAAACAATTCGCTTCATGAGCTGTATTAAAAGCATTTCTGTTTAACCATGATATAAAACAATAAAAAGGGTGCACTTTTATTCCAAAAAGCTTTTATTAGGGATCCTTTTTATACTACAAAAATAACACTATGTTTTTTTATGATATGAACTTAGGTTCATTGTTTAAAATTTACTATATACATGACGTTTCTTGTTTTGTTTTTTTGTTTTGTTTTGTTTTGTTTTTTTGTTTTTTTTTTTTTTTCGGGCGTCAGGAGTCGACACTTTAAGGATGACGTTTACTCAGCGTTTTAATTGACAAAATTTATTTTCACATACAATGTGTAAATCAAAAATTGTTCTTTATGGACAAAATGCCCGTGTTATTACTCAATATCAATTTAAACATGTATTTTATTATTTGAAGAAAATATGCAAGAATAAAAGTATTTTAATGGTAATGGAGAGGAAATTCGGTGTAAATTTTAATTTTTCATTTTTTCAAATAAATTTTTATTCTTGCAATATTATTCATGAATTTAAGATTCTACGTGTTTTTTACACCATTTTGTAAATATAATATGTGTTAATGCTTATGTGTTATTTCAAAAAATTAAATGACATGCAATGAAGAATTTCAAAAATATGAACAAAAATCATTCCAGGCAACATAGCTCAAGAATTTGATCATTGACCTCATATAATTCTTATATAAGTAGAAAAAGGGCAACAAAAGAAAACTGAGGCTTAAACAGTTTAGAGTTCTTATCGTTCAGATTTAAAAAAAAAAATAGATTAAATATGGGTAAAAAAAATTTAGAAAATGGAAATTCGGACTAGGATAATTAACATGTTTATAGTTCAAACTCTGTTTTTTTTTATTTATATTTAAGAAAACCATTTCATTTATATTATATACTAAGGGGCCACTAGCATGAAAAATAGGTCATTGACCTAGTAATTTAAAAGTGAATAATAACACTACATGTACATGTACAATCATAGGTCTACAATGTACAATAGGTGGTTTTTCATTCTTATCAGTGGAATTTTTTTGTCATCTAAGTAAACGTCATCCTTAAAGCTTATTCTGTTTTTAGGCACAAAGAAAAAAAAATGATGATATTCTAGAAAAGTAAAGTTGCATTTCGTTACATTTATATATACAGAGCCGGCCATAGGGAGTGAGTTACTGCATGTTCAAAATGTTGAATTCATTTTATTTGTTATATGTGTAAAGCATTTCAGATAGTACCTGTACTCATTTTAATGCTCAAAATAAATAAATTGAAAGCATATCTGGGGATATTGCCAGCGAATTATAAATATATCAAGATCTTATGTTCAGATTACTATTGTACATAAGAATTTATTATGTAGTTTGCCACTTAAGAAAGAACTTTTACAGAATACTAGTACAGTGGAGCCTCGTCTTCCAGACGAAATTTTTGGGGAAAAATTTATATTTAGATATACAAATTCGGACACCTCATTAATTCGGACAATTTGCTCGGCAACACAAACGTCTGGATGATAGAGGCTCGACTTGATATGTGTTTACAGAATACGAGAAAAACCTCATTACATAAATCATGGATTCATTGTTTGTATCTTACATTTTGACTCCCATATCCAGAACACATGAGACCAACTCTCGTATCCTAGTCTGATGTTTGTCTGGACTGTTGTTCCCCAAACGGTGAAAACCAAAAGATCGTGTGCCGAGTTATCGACAAAGAGTCTGAACACCTCTCCTTTCTTGCCATGTTTGTAAGACATGATTGTGCTTGCTGACTCATTTTCGTGCTTTCTAAGCCGGATCCAGAATCCAATTGTAAATTTGGGAAGTTTCGGAAAGGCCTTATCCAATAATAATGTGTAGCGAACCGGTTCCTTCGCCGAGAACTCTAGACGCGAATCAATGGCTGACGCTGTAACAGATCACAGTCTCTAATTACAGAACGCTAAATTAGTTTATCCAATTTCCTTATCTAAGTAACCTTATATAGAGTATTAATTTAGAACAAACAATATTGGCGAGGGATATGAAAGAGAAAATTTGGAATCCTTGATGAATTCAGAAAGATCTTCATCACCGAACTATTGCCGAGGCGAAAGGTCCCCGGCTGGGGATGCAGACTTCATAGGTAATCAATTAAGTCTTTCATGGTGGCAGTTTGTTTTATTGTTCTGGTGTTTATTTTAGCTGAACAAATTTCTGGAGAACGTTATCAAATAATTTGATATATTTAACTGAGTTACTATTTCCTAGAGTTGAAATGATATGAAGTCACATTTCTCAGTGATATCAGTTAAGTTTTATCAGTAATATTTGCTTTAAATGTAACTTATCAGTAAACTCTAATCAATTATGGAATGTTTTTTTTTCTTTTCACGATTTTAAATATACAACTAAACTTAAGTTCTATTTCATGCTAATTTTTACTTAGGATAGTAAGAACCTTTCAGTCAAGACTTCTGCATTCCATTCCACCAATACAAAATGTTTACATTGCACTATGAAGACGCTCTCTGCAGGAATTTACTTACACATGCACATTTCAGTGTTCCAGTGGAAACCTGGTCCGCATGCGCACCCGTATCCATCCGTGTGGTTTAGACATTTGGGTCTGGTGTAGTAAGAAGGGTGGCACTTCTCCGTCAGTATAATGTCTTCTTTAAATTCAAAGAAATCACTGCAGTATTGGTTTTGTAATGCAAAATACTAGTACAGTAGATTGCAAAGATTTTCGTTCCTGAATATGATTAAGGCCACAGTAGATTAATTCTTCGTTTTAAGTACCCAGAAGGGTAGGTTTTCAGAGAAATTCACTCAAAAAAGTTTGTAAAATTTTTAACTCTTTTCTCCGTATTTTCCAAAGATATCCGAATCTTAAGATTACCGTATTTTTTTTCAACGTAATTTAAGGCTCTTTCAGAATTCTTATGTGAAGGATTTGATCACTATTAGTTTACACATACACTTATTTATCTTTATTTAAAGAATTTATTTTTATTTTAATAGAAAAAAAATTTGGTATGAGCTTAAACAATCTGTCACTAAACATACATGTACTATGAATGAGGGATTTTCATGGGGGGATTCTCTATAAGTAAAAAAATTCTGACTTATGCTCTTAAAATTGTAACAAAATATGCAAACTCAAACGCATGGACTGCCAAACTTAATACACATCCAAATGCATGGATTACACAGTAGAACCACATGAATCTATCTCACTGTTGAAAAAAATATAATTTTATTTATTCTATGCTAAGTAAGACACATTTATTCAATATTGTCATACGTATGTTAGTTTGGCCTTTACCCTTTTACTGTGGCAGAAATTGCATTTTTTGTACTTGATTAAATATTTAAAATGAAAGAATAAGAACACATAAAAACTTTCTTTCTTATTATTTTGTCAATATATTGCGCAATTTTGAAATGTATTTGGTTTTTTTCTGTCAGAATGGAGCCTCCCAGGGAATCTTTTAGAAAAATTAAGGGACGTGAAATAAAGATATTATACATTTATTGACTAGGTTCGAAGGCAACATGCGTTTTGTCGAACCCAAGAACCAAACTGTTTGCCTGGGGCCGTTAGGCCGAAGTCAAACAGTTTGGTTCGAGGGGTCGACAAAACGCATTTTGCCCGAGAACACAGGCCATTATTTTAAAAATGTTTTGTTACACCTTTTACTTTTTATTTTGACATAACATGATGTAAATTTTGTTTACCCGCACTGCGGATTAAACTTGGTCAATTCCGTAAAGTTCTGTCGAACTCCAACGAATGCAAATAAGATACAGCTGACCCCGCCCGCACTGTGACTTAAGCGGTCCAACATCTCATCGACAGGTCAAGTATCTCGTTTTGCGGTCAAACATCGATTTTTTTTATGACCGCTCAGTAAAACATTGGAATTTGTTAGACTTTTTTTTAGTAAAGGAAACAACTTTTAAAGGTATAGCAATAGATATTGTTATACCTTTAAAAATTGTTTCCTATATAAATCTATACTTTAAAAAAAAGTCTGACATTTCCAATGTTTTACTGAGCGGTCCATTGAAAATCGATGTTTGACCGCAGAGTGAGATATTGGACCTGTCGATGAGATATTGTACCGCTTACGTCACACTATGGGCGGGACCGAGTTCAACTACAGTGCGGGTAAAGGAAATTTACATTATGGAAACCATTACAAGATACATGTATGTAAATAAAATAATATGTATAACAAAACATTTATTGACTGGGTTCGAGGGCAACATGCATTTCGTCGGACCCAAGAACCAAACTGTTTGCCTGAGGCCGTTAGGCCGAAGGCAAACAGTTTGGTTCGAGGGTCGACAAAACGCATGTTGCCCTCGAACCCAGTCAATAAATGTATAGTATTAAGTTATTCGTAAAAGAGACTTTGAGTGACTTGACAAAAACTGCGAAACTTTCATAATACACTGTACATTTTAGTAGACATTGCACATTTCTAATCTGACTTACGATAGTAAAAACATTGAACTACTGCGAATCTGTAATTTTATTTTTAGGAAGGAAAAGAGTGTTCGTATTGTAACTAATTTTTTTTTTCAAATATGTTTTTTTTCAATAAAGTTTGGTTTCACCGCTTCTAGAAGAATATTCCGAATGGTAAATTACAGGGAGATTTTAGACCGTAAGTCCAATCATAATTATAAAGATTATCAAAATGATATTAAATATATGCTCACATCTCATTACTTACTTATGTAAGTCTGTTTTGAAGTATTTTTGATTTCATTCCTGAGATATTATTTATACACGTAAGTATAACATATTTTATAGTAAGTACATATTACTGACCCTTACTGTCCCCCGATGATATGTTGGACGCCACAGTGTTTGCATCAGACAGTTGTACCAAGACAATAACGAAGTTGATGATGAGAATCGTCACAGTGACGTCTGATGATTTCCAACGACAGGAAATTTCGCAAATGTTGATCATGGCATCATACAGTAAATTCTGGCCAGGCAAGATCTTTGACCATCAACCCAATACATCTAGCGCGAACCTGAAAATAAAGGCCAGATTAGAATAACATTCTTATTACCCCTCCAATCGATTCACATATGTCAATTCAACAAGACAACCAAAAAGATTTTTTGTTGCTTTTCCCCGTTCCTTACAACCCTCCAATCTAATAGCCGGGCAGAACCAATCTCCATCTAAATTGAATGACCGAGACAAGTTTTACGGCGAGTCTTTCGGAGAGCACAGGAAGTTGTTCTACATTTTTGCCGCTAATGATGGGTATAGGGAAATAAATTTGGCATGGTAAGATTATAAAATGAGTGGATAGCGTGATTAATGAAGATAGAATATTCATAGAGGCTAGTTAACTTCAAAATTTAACATCCAAAGCAAGACCGACGAAGTGAAAGTGCATATAGTATTTCTTGAGTGTGCATTTTTGGAAGTAGCAATCAAAGTCGGAGATGCAATCGCTAATGGAATTACGTTGATGAATTCCCTGATTTCTTTTCTTCTTTCCTCAATTGTATTGCATGCGCCATGCTGGATGTTTAAGACCTATGATGAAAATCACCAAAAACATAACACTGTATTATGTCACAAGAGCTATATGTAGATTGTAATTAGATTGGCCAAATATTTATTCTCCGCAGAAAACCAAAATAAGTTTGTTAATTGTCTTTTGCTATTCTAAGAATCCGTAAACTAAAAGATGTATACAAGACAGTTTCCTTAGGAACAATTAACTGCTTTAATTCAGAATTTATTATAATAAGGACCTCTCTCTATATTTGGAATTATTGAATCATCACGTTTGCAAGTATTTACTTTTTTTTTTCAAGAAGAACTCTGTGATAAATCAAGACACCTGCATGGTGGATGGTATTGGTTTTTTTAAATCTTCATTGATAATGAAAGTGGTGATGTAAATTGGAGTTGATTAATGAGTCTATTTCATTTCAGTTGTTCAGTACTGGAACAACCTAAAATAGTAGTATTGAAGGATTCGGATTCAATTTAATATTGTCTGGTTTGTATAATGGAATAATTTACATTTATGCAAATGCACATAAATACAAAAGGCCCTTGGACACAACATTCATATATGAACCACCGTTCTCTACTTGACAAATAATTAAGTACCGGTAGATAAGAGAAACCCTTACTCTGGTCATCAGAGTCCATGAATTTAACAAATTTTATTTATAATATCCTAAGGCTTTACAGTAAGTTTACAAATTTTTTTGCTATTCTGGTGCGAGTATGAATGTCTGTAGAAAACCATTGCAGGCCTACTCTTGCCCCGTGGATAAGCATTACAAACTACATGTACAAAATTTGACTAATAATGACCCTGCTTTTCTCAAGAAGATTTGAAGCTATCTTTTCCTGTGTTTCCTACATGTAAAATTCAAATATACCTTAATGTGTCCCTGATTTAGTCTCAGTTCCATGAATTAAAACATTTAAATCCACACTATATTGGGATGCTTACATACTTACTTGAAAACGCTATCCCGCTGTAGGAAGATATTGTTCCCGTATATGTCAGTGTAATTATAAAGAAACAATTTGACTCCCAATCGTGATCACACCCTTGCTCTGGGATTATGATTTTGCATTCTTACACTTCAAGGGGATGTATATTTAAAATAGAGTGTTCCAAGAAACGCATGTGTCGCCTGCTTTGTAGCTTCATTAAAGGTGTAAATAAATCTTAGAGTGGTCAGCTTTTATTTACTACAAGCATGAGAGACTGACAGTTCATGCATTTGCCTGCAAAGAAAAAAAAATGTCATCCATGGATAGAATATTTAGACTGCGATAGAATCTGACAATCAAAGAAAATATGGTACCATAACCCTCGAATGAATAATTAAATTGAAATTATTAGAAATAGCTATTTGTCATTTTATTAATACATGTTTCCAACAATCCTCCAAAAGAGCTTTCAGTCTTTCTTCACTCGGCACACCTCGGCCGATTCGTACCTCATCTAACCTCGGCTGTATCATATAAACCTACATTGAACCGGAGCTACTTTATAAGCAATATGGCTGCGCCCTATAATTACACGTGCACAATGTTGACAAACATGTGATTACGTAAAGATACTAAGTGCATATTTCTCGGTAACTGTTATTTTTAATGTTACCTTAAAGCTTTTGAAGATTTTTATCCATGTGCTGAATTCGATCCGTTGACAAACATGTGATTACGTAAAGATACTAAGTGCATATTTCTCGGTAACTGTTATTTTTAATGTTACCTTAAAGCTTTTGAAGATTTTTATCCAATGTCAGACGCTTGTTTATTATCGTTTTCAAAGCGTTACATTTTCCCTAAGCGGTAAACAGGCAGCCTTATCACAAATGTTAAGCGGAGACGCATATCAAGCTTCCTCATACAGCCGAGGTTTGATGAAGGTGACGGAATCTGCCGAGGTTTGCCGAATGCGTCTTTCTTTACTGCAACTGTCAGTCTACACAATCCATTGTTGAATACCGATCCCGATGCATTTTTATGGTATTTAAATATGTTTGTGTGGTAACTAAATAACACACAGTTTCAAAGTATATTTTCATGAGCTAAACGTTTTTCCAGTAATCATTCAAAAGAGATTTCAGTCTGTCTTTATTGCAATTCTTAGCCTACACGACCCATTGTGGAATACCGATCCCGATGCATTTTCATAGTATTTAAATATAAGTTTTTCTGGTAACTGAATTTCATACTGTTTCAAAGTACATTATCATGAGCTCATAAACATGTATAAATGCTTATTATCTAAACCCTGCCTCTCAAAGTTTAAAAGTAATAAATTTAATTAAACTGCCCGAGATATTTTTCGCAAAGTAGGTCAAAGGTCAAGGTCAAGTAGATTGTAATGCTAATTTTTTCATATTTTCTTATGACAAAGAGTGCACCTGCTAAATAGCAGACTTACCTCTTAAATGTCAAAGATATGCTGTATATCGGCACTATGAAATATTTTGAAAAGTAGGTCCAAGGTCAAGGTCAAAGGTCACGAAGTCGGTAACCATTGTAATTTACAAAAGCTATAGTGTCAAGCATTATATGTGCAAAATATCAAATCCATACTTCTTACAGTTCTTGAAATATAGTGACAGACGCACAGACAGACAGATGCCGGGTAATGTGATCCCTTAGTGTCGCTCTGCTCTGCAGGCGACACAAAAATACGACGGAGACCTATTTCTGCCCCCCCCCCCATAAAATCAAATTTTGAAAATCTCTGGAAATGTGCACAATTGTATTTATATTACATATTAAAAAATTAATTAGCAAAATTTATTATACATGTAGATTGGAAGAATTTTATTGACAATTTTGCTCTCTGTGACGACACAAACTAACTGGAATTTCCGTTATTTTAAGGAAAGAACACAAAATGGACAAATATGTTCAAATTTGACTATAATCATATTCATATGTAGATATCCCATATTCAAATTTGTTCAAATTATGGTTTACAGGGTGAATGACATTATGAGGAAATGTTTCGAATAAGTCGGAAAAACGATTAAAAAATTATTTGCGAGAGAATAGCAGGATTGCTATTGGACAAATCAAAAAGGAAGCATTTCGATCCATCTACTGAAAATTCGTGTTGTGAGACAAGGCGCTAGAGTGGGTCACAAAAGGGGGTCGAAGTTTAACATTATATGTGTATAGCAGAAAAAAAAATCAAGAAAAGCAGGGCAACATTTGCTCAAATTTATATGTATGCAAGACCTCGTAGCAAAGATTACAATGGCACATTTTTTAAAATAGAGAAATAGAGGAAAAGTCTGAAGAAACATGGTCAAAATTAGTCAAAGGACTAAATTATGTAATGGCTAAAATCTACCCCCTAAAATCGAACTTTGATGGAGAAATCTTTAGTTAAGTTCCAAACCAGGGGAGATCTGCAGACTCAAAGCAAAGTCATAAGTTAGATATGAAGTTAAGAAAATGACGTAATTCAAATTTTCAATGATTTTGAAAGAAAATGGTGTATTTCACGTCGATATTTTGATTGATTGATTATTGCTTAACACCGGGTTGGCAATATTTCAGCCATATTTCGGCGGCGTCGATATTTTGACTAGAATTCATGAGGGGCAGGTCTGCTCACTCTGGATCTTTTCATATCGTATCGAATGGTTATATTAATGAAATATGTTGGTATTGTACCTGAGCAAGTTTGCGCTCTGTAAATACTATTATTTTTATCTTGCAATTTAGGAGAAGAGCATTTTATTAGATACCCCCTTATATTATAAATATGTAATTAAAGTTTTGATCCTCTTTAGCAACATGAGCATTTGGCTCCCGTGAGATTAAACAGAAATGGATCTGTTAACAATTTTAATCATTAAAGAAGACGTGTACATCTAGCAAGTAATTAGCGATATTTAATTAAAATTTAATGTCAATGGACCCTTTACAATGAAAAGCTTGAAGTACTCTTCGAAAACAGCAATTATTCATTTTGTTTTTTAACTGCATTTTCCCGTCCTGATAGGAAAGTCTCGTATATGTAGAAAAAAGAGTTGAAAAAAGACGCCTCCAGATTTGCCTTCAGATGTTATTTTAAAAAAGGCACAATTGCCTATACACATGCTAGATTGCATTTCAATTTTTTAAAATATATTTTTAAATGCATTAGGTCAAAAACTCACGTTAGCTTTTTTTAAATATTCTAGCATTACGAAAACCCAACTGAAAACAACAACGATTAATGTGAATATATTATTTGCCTTTTAATGTCATAATCATGTATCTGATTATCATCATTAACTTGTTACATTTGTCAATAATTCAAGGATTTCATGTGTCTAATAAATCTCGTTTCCCTATCAATGTCCAAGTTTCTGAAACCCTAAAAGTCTCGCTGTCATCAGCATCTATAGAAAAGTGGGATAAGGCCCGACAGACGTCTTCATCTTCAGGAAACCAGTGGCATGTCTTAAAAGCCAGAGCAGCTAGGATCAGGAAACTGTGGTATGCCTGTCTACAGAGTTAAAAGCCAGAGCAACGGGAATTGTACAATACAAAAGGCTAAGCGAAGGATGTAAATTCACTATTTTTTTTCTTTTATGGGCCCAGTCAATAACCAAGTGTATACATCTACATCTACATCTAATTCTGTCGTTAGAGTATACCCACTTTGTGTAATTTCAATTTTTTTTTACAAGTTCACAAAAATTTTACATTAAAATAAAAATGCACTAGATATAAGTTTTGTTTGATACAAAAACTATGTACGCCTAGAAGTTGCTGCTCAGATGCTAGTTTAACATTAGCAAAAATTGATTATTGATTTTTCATAAATCTATTTTCCCTCTGACTGTGAAATAGCTTAATATTTTTAAAATCCTATTTATAATGAAGGAAAGGAAAAACTGAAGCTCATGTCTTCCGTTCACTTCATTTGTATGTGATGTACGTAAAAGAGCCAAACTTATTATATCCGTTACAGTAGCAAAAATACCCATAAATGTAGATTATCAGGGTTTTTAACTTTTCGAGAACATTCGTAAACTTTCCAGATTTTATCATTGTAATTTGTAAGAATTTTTTAATCATTCTTAAAGGTGTATGGATTATTTTTTTTTTCTTTACTCAAGGGGATATCGCTTCATAATTATCGTAACCTAATGTAATTAAGCGGACGTTTATCAACTCTCTTAGAGCATATCGATTCCTGCTCTTCAGCCTTTCATCAATTAATAATAGTGTTCCGATCGACGACATTATTTACGTTTTTCTAAGGGCCCTAATATAGAAGGCCCTTCAATACACAATAATTGTTTGAATTACGTGGCCACTATCGCCTTCGTGTTTTTCATACCAATTAAGCAGCTCTCACCTATAATTGTTTCTTTACATACAAATAGTAATGTTATATTTGGCCTCTTGCAATTGGTATTGGAAAGTATATGTTTCTTGTATCATACTTTTATGCTGTAAATAATGGTTTTTCTTCAATTGATAGTACTTGCGATCTAGCTGGAGCGGATCAAAGATCTAATTTTAATTAGATTGTAGTACTTGAAATTTTCCAGAAGAAAATCTAGCTAATATAAAAGATATCTTTAATTTTACATTTCCATCATTAGGGGCTCTGAATTCTTATAACATGTATTTCTTTTATTAAAATGATGATTGGAGTATTGGGTCTTTTGGATACCACAGATAAATCAAGCAATAAATTGAGATTTCTATATTTATGTTATATTAACAAATACGATATTCAAAGAACAAAATGAATACCAATTAAAAAAATTAACATTAAACAAAAATATAGTTCTTCATAAAGTTAGAATTATGTGTTACATCTTTGTATAATGGTCCGATTTAACTGACCACTTCTGGTAATCTGTTTTCGTAATGAGAATGTCTTGACAAAGATGAATGATCTCAATGACCACTAAACAATACCATAACAATCTATGGTATATCTATAACTTACATACAGTTTGTTGCAGAGTTCGTTCTAGAGACCGGATTCTAGATATGGCAATCGTGATTAGTAACCATATTTCCTTTCAGAATGTTGTCTCAGAAGTATGACACTAGAATACATATAGTCATAGGACATATTCTGTGTGCAACCCTACACGTGTGATGCAAGCGTGCACATGTATACAATAGGGTATTCTCACAATATTCTTGCATACAAATACTACAAATGTGAATGCTATATCTGATTAGTATTTTTGGTGTGGTAAGAGGAAGTAAATCCAAACAAGCTATCTTAAATATACAGGGACAATGACTTCTGAACGATAATAACATAAAACTGATCGAATCGGTTGTGATCACGCTACTGATGTAAAATCAAATACTGACCTGTAAAACCCCGACTTTATTTGTCCTCCATTGCACACCTATAACATATAGTACCACATCCGAACTGTAACAAGTAAGGACATCACACCGAAGCGCCTTCTTTCTCGTGCATGAAATCGATCGCCAGTCACAGACGTGTCGAGCGAATTCCAACAAAAATGTCCGATATTAAAGCACAGAGGCTAATAATTCACACTAATCAATACTGCTGCCTTTCTTAACTTGTCTGTATTTTCAGGTTCTTGTTAAAAGTTTATTTTTCAATAACAGAAATTTTAATTTTGCACAACACGAAATCAACATTTTCGATACTAGTATCAGGAAATGTAAAATTTGGATGTAGTGTCATTGATCGAGTTATGTGGCTTAGAGTCTCCTTAAAGCCTTTTTATGTACATTGTAAACAACTTACTATTGACCCTTAAATTGAAAGTTAATCATAAAATGCAATAAGTCGATGAAAAGAGCAACAACAAGCACACACCAGTTGTACGAAATTTGAACTGCTTCATGTATATTTGAACTTACAAAGTCTATTAATCTTAGACTAATTATTGGTTTTCTGTGGTTTAAACACTTCCAGCATGTGGAATTTGTGTATTTTTATAGCATATGTGCAAATAAGTTCTCGTTTCTACAGAAATTGCTAAAAAATTGCATGGACCTGTTGTTTAAAAGCTTTACTTTTAATAGCCTCTACGATAGCTTGATATTGGTTGACTTTAAAAAAAAAAAATACATGTACTGTGTAATTGACCTTTTTTAAAAATCAGTTTTAAGTTACACTTGAGCTATACTAATTTATTACCCTAAATTTAAACAAACTTAAAGGTTGACTAAATAATTTGGGTGAGTGGTAAAAAAATGCACAATGAAATGCAATGAAAAACATAAGATCACAAACATTCTGAGAGTGTCGCTGAAGCAATAATGTTTCCTAAGGGTTCAATTAATACATTCATAATGGCTGATACAATTTGAATTTCTAAGCGAAAATATATAAAATATGGGTTATGATAGTAGTAGAATATAGTCAACTACTGAATATAATCACATTGATTGTTTTTCCCCTAAAATTAGCTGAATTTACAAAGGCCACAATAATTATTGGAAATTTATAAAATGCTGTGAAAAGTTTTGTCCACTCAACTCTTATATAAAAACAATGTGTGTTTGTGAAACACTGATTCCCCCAATATGGCAGCTCAAGGCTAAAGTTAAGGTTTTTCAAATGTAGGTCAAACTTCAAGGCCAAGAGTTCAAAAATGTTGATAGCAAAAGAAAAGTCTTCTCGCAAGGGATACACATCTGAATATAATAGCCCTAATACCAACCATTCAGAAAATATAGCAAAGATTAAAATTTTTCTAAAGTAGGTCAAACTCCAAAGTCAATGTCATGAAGTCCAGAAATAATGGAACCAAGGAAAATGTCTTGTCACAAGGAATGCGAAAGTGAAATATGAAAGCTCTAACAGCAGTTAAAGAAAAGGTTAAAGTTTTTTTTAAATGTGGGTCAAACACAAAGATGAAGGTCTTTGGGTTAAAAATGTTGGTATCAAAAGACAGGTCATATCACAAATATACACGTGATATATGAAAGTCCTAACACCACTGTTCAAACATTTTATCCAAGGTGTAAGTTTTTTATAAAGTAGGTGAATTTCAAAGGTCAAGGTCGAAAGGTAAAAATAATTGGTTCCCAAGGAAAGGTTTGGACACATGAAATATAAAAGCTCTAGCTGCAATTATTCCAAAGTTATGGTCAGGATTAAAGTTTGGTAATTTTTTTTTCAAAGGTAGGTCAAACTCCAATGTCAAATATGTTTGTATCCAAAGAAAAGTCCCGTCAAAAGGAAAATACATATGAAATACCTAGCACCAACAATTCATAAGTCAAGAGCAAGATTAAAGTTTTTGCGGACAAACAAATTAATAGAGAAACACATAATCGGAAAGATAGACCAAAACTATATACCCCCAAATCTTCGATTACGGGGGCATAAAAAAACTTTCGTATGAAATTTAACTTACTAGGATTATGGTCACAAAATTCCCATAGAAAGAGAAGTTGTAACTTGGTCAAAAAGGCTAGAATTCTCCGAAACAGAAACAAGATCTTCTACTCTGATATACACAGAAGTAAAAAAAATATCAAATTAATATGAAGTATTTTTGAATAAATCCAGAGGTCACATAGTAAATGTAATGTTTTCTAAATAGCAACTCTTCCCCTAAGAAGAAATATTATACTCTAGTAAATCATCCCCATGGAAAGTTTACTACTACTATACAGCAAACGTTATATCAGGGGAATGATTATAAAAATTCCTCCGTGCACAGAAAATAATTCTCACCCGGAATTTCTACTACACATGATTACATTGCGACTCATAAATTATCAAAATGTTATAATTAGATTACCTAACTAATAATCTAAACCAATCATGATTCAGTGAGAGGGTTTACTATGCGGAATAAATACTTCATATGAAACTTTCCTCAGGTTACGTACATACAATACTGATGAAATAACTGCTAACACCTCCTCATCCGAGACCATTTCATATCCTGTGTTTCGACCCCTAACTTTGTACAACTCTCAAAACGGGGGGGGGGGGGGGTTCACAGTTGTGATCAGTCACTATGCATGGTGATGGGTTTCCAGCTACCGCTGTCTCTCTTCATCCATATTCAACATAATGTCTTCTCTGCCTCTTGGCTCATTTTCTGTACTGCCACTCTTGTACAAAGGGTCAGTGAATCCTATTAGGGAGAACTACTTCTACACTGACTGTGCATGAAAGCCTCTGCACCCAATTAACCTCACAGGAAAGTTCTATGTCTGCTATCCTCTGTCTCGGCACCATGCCTTCAGATCTTTATATTTTCTCTTTCCTTCATTGGCTTTGACACATTTCTTTCTACTGAAATGTCAATTCTATTATCTCAAACTTTTTACTCTTTGGCGACAGAGAACCATTAAGAGTCTTAAGTTTATTAGATCAATGTCAGGAAACTGCATCTTCTTGTCTAGATCTACCTCTAGCTACCAATCTGTAACTTGGTATATTATGTAATATTCCTGACATCATTTTTTCTTTTGTCACTTGATTCCCCTTCCTTCATGAACTGGATATTGAGAGTCTTGTTCCTTAAGATTCTTGCTTTTTTCCTCTTTCTATTCACTACTTCTGCTAATTTTCGGAGGTTCTGATTGTATCCCCAAGTATACATACCATGTGAAAGAGCGATGCTCCATCCTCTGAGAATGTGTTGTAGCGTTTCCACACATAGGCGTCGGAAGCAAATTGAAAGGGGGGGCTAATTGAAAGTGTGTGGGGGGGGGGGGAGCTAAACCAGCGAAAAAAGGTAAGCCCCAATTTTCAATGCCTATATTATGTCTATTTTTGCAAAAAAAGTGGGGGGCTAGGCTCCCCCCAGCCCCCCCCCCCCCGGTTCCGACGCCTACCACACAAGGAGCAATCTGATATTTCTGACAGGTTCAAATTTAACTATGCAGTCTTGTTGATGTTGGTAACACATCATAAACTATAAATGTAGTTGCAAATGTGGATTTTGTCCATGTAAGGGGTCGTTGCCCACTTCCTACATTAACCACGCCCCCTGGCTCCATAACTTAAATGTCTTTATTTGTCAGCTTTTTTCTCTGCTTGTTAACTCTCCTTCAACCATACATTGTCGCTCTTTAGTCTCAGCAATTTTCTAGCAGCAGCTTTTCTTTCTATATATGTTCCAAGACCTTGCCTTCCTACTGCCATGCCTTGTCTACTCATGGCTTCTGAAACTGATTTGGAGGATGAAAACTTGTCCTGTTCTTACTTCTACTCCTCTTATTTTCATCTTTAGATTCTTCCAAAGTCATTATAAACCGTGCTTTTTCAACTTTTAATTCTTCAATGATATTGATTTTAATAGTTGCTGCAACTTGGTGCTCCTGCTATACAGTTGTACGTAGGGATGTAAAAACTTGGTGGAACACCTAACCATTTTAAAGTTGTTTATTGATTGATCTTTCAGTTTCCCGACTGTTGACAAAGTCATGTCGTAAAACATAAGTGGTCACGCTATTCTTGTCAGGTATCCATGTTAATATATCTATGCCTTAAGCTTCCCTGCTTGACCCGTCTTATTCCCTCACACATCTGTTGTTCAATCTACCTGATATTGTTCCTTTCACTTAATGAATCATCGAACCACTTTCCTAAGCTCTTGATGGAATTGTCAATTATAGACGAAATGATTTCTCTTTGCACCTTAAGCTGCATTAGGTGTGTGATCTTTTGTTGCTTTATTATCAGAAATCGTGATTTCTTGAACTTGAAGGCCATTCTTGGTCATGATACTTTCTCTTCCAATGCATTTTATATCCATGAACATGGGTATCTGTAATGATAGCTATCATTTTATAATCTCTACCTGGTTGTTGCCTGATGTTGGTTGATCAGATGTTTTGGGGCCTCTAGTTTCTCTCTCTCTCTCCCTCTTTCTATAAACCTGGTATAGAATCCCGTTTGATTCTCATCCAGATGTATTTAGCTTTTTACATCACCGTTACTTTTTCCATGATGGTTCTTTTATATTCTACGGTACAACTGGTTCTGACACTCTCTATTCTTCCACAGTTTTCTGTGTGTTTCCATATCCTTTTATCACTGTGTGTATCTGCTAGATGATCTTTCTACCGCTCAGTCGGTAGAGCGCTCGCTCCGTGATCAGGAGGTCGTGAGTTCGAATCTCGGCCGCGACAGACCTAAGTCGATAAAAAATGGGTAGCAACTGTTCCTTCGCCATGCGCTCGGCACTTTGAAGTGAAATTTGCGGGTCCTTCGGATGAGACCTTAAAAACCGAGGCCTCGTGTCGCGGCAGGCGTTGGTACGATAAAGATCACTCACTGCTCAATGGCCCTGAGTGCCGAGTAAAGGTCAATATTTGAAGCCCTTCACCGGTATATGTTGTCGTCTCTATATCAAATTAAAAATTCTCGAATGGGACGTAAAACAACATACAATCAATCAATTAATCAAGTGCATCCTTTGAGCTTTGCACAGAGCCTTCCTTCGTGCCATCC